CGTGAGCTTTGGGCCCGCCCCCCGCCCCCCAGCCGGTGCCCAGGCCACCGCTGCGGTAGGACAAAAGGGGCACCGCCCGGAGACCCTTCTTCCCGGCACGTCCTCGGCAGGTGCACCCCATCCTTCGACCCCTCTGCAACCACCTCTTCGCTTAAGGATCCCCAACCCGTAGATTGGCAGGTGGACGGTGGCAGGGTGAAAAGGGTCGCGGGCTCTGACTCAGTGATGTCCCATCTGGAGAATTGGGTGTGGGGCGTGGCTGATGGTCCTGGCACACCTCCAGGACTTAGTACTCTTGAATGGGGTACCCCAGCCCCAATGCCTCTGCTGACAGAAGGTTATAGCACTTGGGAAGGCAGGGCACGGTGGCTTGAGGGACAGAGGTCCTGTTGAACACAGACACACAGACACACACACACACACACACACACACACACACACACACACACCCCTCATTGCCTCCTCCAGGACCCCACTAGGTCATTCATAGCAGAGGTGATCCCTGCAATGCTCCTACACTCACTGTCTACATCTGTTTCCTAGGTTGCCTTCTCTTGACAAAGAGGTCCTGAGCTCCTCAGGTGGGGGCATTGCAATCCTCCCCCTAAACAAAGCACAAACAACCCAGGTCGTTTATATAAGGCCAGCATGCTCCATTTGTCTCCCATGTCCAGATCTAACTGAAGGAGCAGAAGTTACCTGAGGGCCCCCAGATGTATGTCTCTGATCAGCTTAGGCTGTTCTGTTGGTAGAATACTTGCGGCCCACCTTCTCAGCTGTGTCCCCAAGCCTAGTTGCTCCAGCTGAGCTTTTCAACCCAGTTCTTAGGCAAGACAGATGCAATGTGAGGGGCTGGGATCTCTGACCTCAGGGAGAGGTGCTAAGAACTCAGTACCTGACTGAGATGTAAAGGAGCACGTGGGCATGATGCAGGTCCCCGGCTCTGATTAGTGATGCCTGGCCCGAGGACTGAGTATGTACGGCTGTGTGGCTGCTGCTAGGTCCCGTCCTGACCTCCTAAGACCACAGCATTTTTATACCAATACTTGGGAACCACAGGTCACTAAGGAACAATAGTAGAGGTAGGAAACCCCTTTTTGGGTCCTCTGCTCCCTCAGGGCTTCTGCTGGGGACTGGGGCGCTGCCTCTAGCTTGTGACAGCAACCCCCCACCCCACCCCCAGCTCTATTTTAGGCCCAGGAGAGGTGAGAAGGCGATTTCCCAGGAGGCACTGACATCAATGTTGGGAGCTAGGTGGCTTCCCCCTCCCCAACCACCTGCCACTCCAGCCCCAGATGCTCAGCAAAGCTGAGCGAATTCTTCCTTCACTCTGGAAGCATCTGGAAAACCTCCAGGATGCTTGGGTGAAGGGGTTTCTGAGATTAGGGTCCTAGCACGTCATACTCCCTCGAAAGTCAGTTTCCCGGGATGGCAAAATTGTGATTCCCATTTTACAGTCCCCCAGCTGCTAATGAGAATTGTATGTCACAGACCACAGTCCCATTTCTCACTGGTCAAGCTTGTCCCCACCTCTGCTTCTCTGTAGGTTCAGAGGGGACTGCTACGTCCGATTCCTAAACTTCTAAGCCACTTGGCATTCCAGACCTCAGCGTAACTGATCACCCCACCACACTGTGTCAGGTACCATGGCACACAGGCAAGCCCTGATGAGGTATGCCTCCAGACAGGCTAGGTGGGGTTTTTCACAGTAGAGGGCCCCAGGGCTGGAATCCGGGTCTCTTCATACATCTAGGACCACACAGGGTGTCTGAATCCAAGGTCCAGGACTTGAGCCACTGTAGTTTCTGTGACTCTGATAACTTGCTTCTTCTGGGGAGACTTTCCTGGCCCTGAGTGACATTTTTTTTTTCTGGTGGCACCCTAAGCCAGTTTGGGTTCAATTATATGACTCCTTGGCCCCCAATTCCCTTATCTTTTTGGGTTCTTGGCTCTATATGGATCTAATTGAATATCTTGACTGTCCTATGGCTACATCTCACCTCCCAAGGCAAGGCTCCATCATCTGTCTTGAGCCCTCTCAGCTCTGCTGACTAGCCAAGCTGGCTTTGGCTTTCCTGTCACCCTCTTCCGCCTCATCACAATGGGTCAGGGGCTATTTCTGTCTTCAACCTGGTAGCCCTCCTGTCAGAAATTTCAGAAGAAGAGGGACTGTCTCCCTCATTAGACAGGCTCCTGACAGAAGTTGCTGTTTTCTTCTTGGATTGAGGCTTGCCTGTGGGCCTCTTAGAGATATCCCTACCCACAAAATCATGGCTATGGCCTGCCGCTTTGGCTTCTGCCCAGCTAAGGGCTCTCCTTGGCCAGTACCTTTTCTGTCTGTATGCCACACACAGTCCCATTTACCCAAATCCTCTGATGAGGATCAGAGGGAGAGTTCTACCCTCCTCAGGAACCCAATACCAGGGGGCCTGAGGCCCCTTCTCCCTGTAGTTCTTTGTGTCCTTAGGCCAATTCTCTCACGTTTTCCTACTAAAGGGCCAAGCTGGATGGGTGAAGGTCCAGATCTTTCTCTGGAAACTTCAGGTAAGGGAGGTTGTCTTGGGCATGTGACTGACAGGGACTGCTGTTGGTAGAGCCACTCAGGCCTGGTCCCCAGTCTGTCCAGGGGACAGAATGATTGGTGAAGTGGATAAGAATAGACCTTGAGATTTAATTAATTTATTTAAATACTGTGAGTCCAAGGCCAGCCAGAGCCACATAGTGAGACCTTGTCTCAAACAAGCAAACAAACAAAAATATTATTGGAGCCAGGTGTGGTGATGCCTTTAGTCAGTTGGATGGCTACATAGCAAGCTCCAGGCCAGCCAAAGCTACATAGTGAGACCCTGTCTCAAAATAAATAAAAGAAAAGAATCAGTCTAGAGAGTCTAGGCTGGGCTCCCAACCGTGTTTCCCTCATTTATTGCATATATGACCCTTCTACCTCCAAGCCTGGCTCCCAAGACTGCAGAGAGGGAGCAACAATGGCTGAACCGGATGCATTTACAGAGCCTGATTCACAGAAGAGGTTCTATCAACTGAGCCAGCAATAAAGGTGTGAGGAGGAGGAGCCAGCTCTTTGGGCCTTGTTGAGCAACCACAATCCAAAGGCTTGCAAGCCTAGGGGTCTCTCTGTGCATATGGCTAGGGTAGCATGACTCTGAGGGTTTCATCTCGATTCATCTCAGACCCTACCCAGGGCAGACTTCTCTTCTCCTTTGAGTGACCTCCCCAACCCGCCCCACTCCTGCTGTCACTCATTCCAGTGGCCCTCCAGGAATCTCTGCAACTCTCAGATGTTGCCCAGGGAGAAGAAGCTGTACCTGGGGTCCCAGGATCCTGGCACACCAGAACTCTGAGGGACTCACAGGACATAGAAGTTAGTCTTTCCCATAGGGATCTCCCTGGAGACTGGATAGTTAGCCTCAAGAGGGCCTGGGGACAAGCAGCAGCCTCATCCGCTCTATTGTTTTCATATTTCCTTTTGAGAGAGAGTCTTCTCTCAAATATCCTTGGCTGAGGGTGACCCCCAAACCTCCACCTTCTGCAGGTTGGGACTACAGGTGTATACCACTACTCCTGGATTATACAGTGCTGGGGCTTGAACACATGGCTTTGTGCCTGCTAGGCAAACACTGTAAGGACTGAGCTATGTCCTCTGCTGTTCACCCATGATTTATACTATAGACAAGGATAAAGGTTGTAGGACAAGAAAAACTGAGGAATAAGCCAGTATAAGTGTGTGGAAGGAGAGCTGGGAGCTCACACCAGTCTGTTGAGACAATGGGCCAAGCACCTCACGCACATGCAGTTTGATGCTTGTCATTTCCTGATGGGATAGGAACTACCACAACCTTCATTTTTCAAAACTTACTGACTTACGCAGCAAGGCGTGGACTTGAACTTAGGTCCATGTAGCTGCCAAGTTCGTAATAAGGGCTCATGGACGTAGCTGGGGACATAGTTCATCGGCACAGTGATTGCCCAGCCTATGCAAGTCTCTAGGATCGAGCCCAGGGACAATAAAGGACAGCCACAGAGGCCGAGTGGAGCCTGACAAGAAGACCAGGACCCACTAGGCTAGATAGGGGCTGAAAGAGGGAGGGCAGAGGTTGAGGAGTCAGGGTGGAGGTAGGTGGGTGAATTAAACAGGCCAGGGAGATCAAGGGAGTGAGGGTGTCAGGCTTGAATCTAGCTGGCTACAGCGAGTAACAGAGCAACTCAAGAACAAAAGGCAAGGGGACCCAGGTCTTGCTTTGAGGATGAATTCTTAGGTAGGACAGGGCCAAAGGTGAGGTTTGATGAGGTCAAGGTATTTCACCACCAGGAGGGACTTAGAAATTATCTTACCAATACCCCTTGCTTTCTTTTAATTTTTTGAGACAGGAACTCACTATGTTGACCAGGCTAGTCTTGAACTTGGAGAACTGCCTGCCTCTGCTCCCAGGTGCCGGGGACAAGTGACTACTCACTGGACAGCAGAGTCAAAAGTGTCAGACAGGACAGGGAAGAGGGGACAAGGTAGGCTTGGTTCTCCGACTACTCTTGGTCCCAGGCCAGACTGCAGGAGGTAGTGGCATTCACACAGCCTCGTTATGCAGGGACCTGTGCAGGTCTCCACTGACTGTGGACAGCAGTCAGCTGGACCCTAACCTGTCTTGAGTTACCAAAGGGCAGACTGGAGACCAACACATTGCACTCCAGCCTGGCCTCTTCGCTCTGAGTTATTAACAAATTTATTGATATGTCCTGAATCAGGACGGTGAAACTTAAGTGGCATAAAAAGGACAAGCAGGGCCTCCAAGGAGCTTGGTGTACACAGTTGCTCTATTTCTAAACTAACAACTCAGGTCCTCACCCACAGCTAGGCCTCCCCCCCCCCCTTCTTCCTCCAAAAGAAGACAGAATAGCACCAGACTTCTGGCAGCCTCAACATTTAAAGAGACAAACACACGGGCAGAGAGGGTGAGAAGGACTACAGTACAAATTGTAATAAAAAACGATGGCCAAGGAATCGATAGCAAGCCCATTTCTGTCTCCAGATTAATGGCTTGGCTGTAAGAAATGGGAGGAGGTCCTGGGGGAGGGAGGGAGGAGGGTGATGCACACTTGGCAGGTGAG